AACATCTGCCCCTCAGGGTCCCCAAATGAGCTGACTTGATCAGCCGGCGCGGATTCAATCTTCGGACGCTTTTCTTTCCTAACTTTGATCTTCTTTACGAAATTCGAGGGCTCATAGCCTATCTTCACCCTTAGATCATGACCATGCCTCAAATCGGCTGATCAGGGGAAAATAACGATAGTGGGTATAATGTCAAGCCTATGACTCTATTTATAGAGCATATTGAGCACAGAATCCGAGCGGAGTTGATTATTAAATTAACTTTATTGATCTTAGTACCATTGAATACTAATAATTTCTCTATCATTATTTTAGTTGTCACTTTCAAGGAGCAGAAAAATTTGGGGAACTAATATGTATACACCAAAAATATCAGCATGAATCTCAAAGCATTTGAACAACCCAGACGAAGGCTAGACAACCAAGGCGTCCTACTCCCCTACTACCAACCACGTGGTGAAGAATCGACCAACACAACATGACGAGAGATTTGAATGACAGACCACGCCAATAGTCCCAATCGACTGGGGCGTAGGCGAGAATCCCTGATCGTGGCTAATCGATCGACCCTCCTTTGCCACGGCTAACGAGATCAACACTTAATCGGGCGCCTCGGCCGACCAACCCATGGCACATTTATCGCTCAGTCGATCATCTCAATCAGTCAAATTCAAAAAAGTCGGCCAGCCAATTACCACCTTGTTAAAATTTAAATTGTAATACAAATATAGTATGAAATTCATACGATTAATTAGAGCATCAATTGTATTAAAAACGGTTCCCATAACCGCTTTTTTTTCAATAATAGTACAAAATACGTCTCTATAAATAGAAGACAAAAATAGGAAAAAATGACCTTTACCGACTCTCTACAGAAAATTTCCGACTTTCTATACCCTCTTTCTCTCTTCCTTCCTTCGCTCAATCTTAAACTCTGGGAGTGTGCTCACAGGCGTTAATTTAAGATCCAACAGTGCATTTGTGACTTACTTTAATTTGAGAAATTTCAGCTTGTCAACATGGCTTAATAAGTTAGCATTTTTTTATCTTGTTTGACTTGGTTGATGAGTTGATTCCAATGAATTGCTATTCTAAAATTTTTTATGTTATAATATTTTCAATTTGGTCTAGGAACTTTAAATCTAATGTAATCTTAAACATTAGATATATTTGCTCAAACGCCTGAAGCTGTGTACTCACCCAATCATAAGATTTTCATAGGCAAAGTATTTTAGTTTTAGAGATTTCCCACAAATTAAAGATAAAGCATCCACAACTTATCCTAGATCGATGCCATTGAGATTTCTCAATGATAAAAACCTCCATGATTGATTGTTTCAAGGAAAATTTAGATACATAACACTCGATTCCTATGTATTTACATATCTAACATCTAAAAACTTCAATTTTTACATATATATCAACTTGCCTATGCATGAAAATATACATTTCACTTTTTAATAGTTAAAATGGTGGTAATTTTCATGTGATATAAAAAAAATTTGGCTGTATAAACATAAAAAAGTAAACTTTATATGTTAGATATGTAAATACAGAGAATTGGGTGGTCTGAATGTAAATGCCTCTTATTTCTAAAGTGGGAACCTTGGAAGATTATTCTCTAAAGCCATCAATTTGTGGGTTGATTTAAAATAAAACATATTTGATGAGTTAAAAATAAATCAACCTATTTTTAAAAATACACAAAAAAAAATAGTTTTTAATTATTATAAGTACTTTTAAAAATAAATAATTTATTTTTAATAATAAAAAACAATTACATGTAAATTGCACTGAATAAATATATTTTCGAAACCAAAAAGATGACATCAAAGGGACCATAGTTTTTGCAAGGAGAAATTTTTATGCAAACATTTTGAACTTTTTAACCCAAAAGTAATGATGGTAAAAACAACCCTACATTTAGTGAAATGGAAACAAAAGACTTGAGTTTTGTAATCATGCTTGAAGAACAGTTAATATAGTGTTATGCCAAAGAGTTATAGAAATCTGATATGTGTGTCATGCCCATCAACTGAAAGATAAAAGTAATCCATTCTCTTAGGAATAATTACAAGTAGTGGCATATACAAAAAATGAAAATTTTAAAAACATTTGACCATTCAACATATGCATACAAAATTTCACAATGAATGATTACTTTCATGACTAAGAATCGTGATTTCGAAGTTTAGAGAGTTTCGAATGACGACGAAAAATAAATGGGTCATTGATGATCACTTGTAAATACTACAATTTTGATTGAAAAAATATATGGGTGAAACTAAATTAGAAAACATAAAAATTCTACACATGGTCTGACCATCTCTGAATTGTTCACACTATTGATGTATGCTTAAACTATTTATTGAAATTAATGAAATTCAATCCTATAAATCTTAAGTTGTATAACATAAAAACAATTTGATGTTCGATCAAACAAAGTGAAAAATTGGGATGATGATGTTCGTCCCTTCAAAATCTATATTTGCATCAACAACTTCACATAATCTTCAAACTCAAGATTAATTTTTTTTTTTTTATTGTGATATATAACAGATGAATTTACATGTGAATCAAATTTCATCAATTTCATAATAGTTTAAACAAGATTCGAAAAAGAAAAATACATGGCAATAAGAGGGGACTCATTAAAACTCTAGTTTTGCCCATATTCTTATCCAAGTTGTAGAATATATGCAATATATCATTAATAATGCATGCATTTCACTCCAAATCATATTAAGATCTCTATACTTCCAAATCGCAATTATAATACTTTAAAATCATAGTCTTCTTAAATTTTTATTCAACAAATTAATGCTAAGAAAATCTTCAAAAATATTGTTGGCATGCATGCCATTGGTTTTAATGATTCTAACACTACTGGATAATTTTGAACCTCAATTTGATGGTAATAAAATCAATTTTAATTAGATGGATAGTGATCATTCTCCTAATAAGGGCATAGAAGTCGCATGCGTAATGGACTTGCTCTCAGTTTAGCAGTAGAATTATCATTCTCCACCAAATTATACTTTAATTTTATTACCAAATGCACGATAATCTTACTACATTCTATCACAATATCCAAAAAAATTTGAAGTTATTTGACTATCAATATGAATCATCAAAATTTTCACAATTATTGAGTTCTAACAATTGTAATCCCAAAATATCGAGACTTTAAAATGATGAAATTTTGCATGTATTATATGTGAAATAAATGAGCAAAACTAGACTTTTAAAATAATTGTTATAGGTATTATAATCATTCTTATAATTTACATATTCTTTATGAATAATGACTAAATCATCATAGAAATTGATGAAACAAGATCCACAAAAATTCTTATGTTGCAGATCACAGTCAATACAGTGATGTTAACTTTAAGACTATCTCAAGTTATAGATGTAAAAGTAAAATTAAAAGTAAAACAATCATTTTCAACATAGGAGAAGAAATATTCAACTCTATGAAGGATTATCTGAGGGACAAAGGAGCTTGTACCCCCATAGGAGTTGGAATATATATGCAATGCAATCTTCATTGTAATTCACATATGCATGATGAATGATTGAAACAATATGAACATTGATAAAACATGATCCAATTTTTTATTGTAGATTCCATGCAATACTATGATCATCAATTTGAAGATTATATGATATTAAGAATACAAAATAAATGTTTGTCTCTTACACTCTTTTGATGGAATTAGGGGATGATGAGTGGCACTGCCCCCTAAGATTTGAAATCTCACTTGATACAAGCTTTCATCACCCAAATACCCAAACTTATTAAAAAACTCGCAAAACAATATAGAATCAAATTACAGCATATCATCATATCAAGTTACCTTCTACTTCATAACATCAAAAAATAGGACTAAACATCTTAATTATAACAAAATCAAATATAATTAAGTTAATAAATATACTTAAGATGCATGTAAACACAAACATCTAAATCACAACCATGTGTAATGAGTGCATACAATATCCTAAGGACCAAACAATGCAGATAAATAAAAAACAAAAATGCCAATAAACACAACAAAACAAAGCATAATGGAAGTACAAATACATCTAATGTTTCAATCAGTTATAGTAGATAGAAACAATATGTAAGAGAATCCTCTCATCGTTAGCTTCATTGTGTTTCTAGTGAAATTCTAATCATAACTTGAAGATAACATGACAATTTTACATTTTTCTTCTTACTTCAGTTATGATTCTATAATTTTAACACACATGTTAGGGTGGCAGAAATAATTAATGTAAAATTTTGAAAAAAAAATCAATAAGTTAAGTCTGAATATTAAAAAGTTGGTCAAACTTAAGTATAATGCTATCATCAAGGCAAATAGAAATATGATGATAATTTTAAGCGAACCAATGGCGATAGCTATGTATGACAACTCAAGGAGTGACAAAGGCAGGTGATGATGCAATCCACAATGTCTCTTGTTGAACCCGAATTTGCCCCGAGCATAACCTAGACTGGAACTGCAGGGCTTTGGGAGGATTACTGATAGAAGTAGTGTTCTAGAGGATCATGGGTGAGATTTATCACACACATTTGGATTTGATCATTCTTGTTATCACAGAAACATCATGAAGAGACGGTCATTTTCAATTTAAGTTTGTTAAAATTAAAATTCATTTGATATAACTATTTATTATTTAATTTTGAGCGCTCTGAGATCCATCTTTTTCACTAAAATTGTGTTAAATTGTAAGAATTTTTCGACAATATCAATCAACCTTAAACAATCAAGTAAAAAAAAAAAAAAACTGGAAGTGAGATATTCAAACACAAACCAACACACAGACTTGAATTCACAGAAAGCAATCGAGGAAAGATTCACTGGTGAAAGGATTTGTAATCCAGTAGTTGAAAGAGAATGGTATTTCTTCAATATCATCAAGTTAAGTCAAATATTTTATGATTTATCTCTCCTCATTCAAACAAAACAAAACAAAAAAAATAACGGTGAAATCCTTGTTCCATTAAATAATTATAAAGATGTTTCTAATCTCACATAAAAGTCGCACCTTGGTTTCGAATCTGATAAATTTACAGCTTTTACATCAAATAAATTTAAAAATACACAATAAGAGGACATGAAAAGCATAATTGAAGAAGAAAGATCCCACTTTTACCTCAAGCAATTACAACGGTTGAGAAGTCCAGCTGCGCTGCAATCTCATCGAGCTGCTTCTTAACACTCATATCAATCAGCTTCGACCCCGAGTTCCCATACCTAATCGTGAACCCAGCAACCAACGAAGGATCAATAGCCGTCTTGATCCGGACATTCTTCGCGCCCGTCAGCCTCTGCACCGTCTTCGCAATCTGCGCGAGGTGCTGCGACTCCAGCTTCACCACTGAAGAAACCACCGCGACCTCCGTCCCCGTTATCTCATTATAAGAATTTTCGAACTCCTTCACAATCTCCTTAATCAAATCGATCCGCTTCATGTCAACGAGGATGTTGAGGAAGTTGGCAGTGTGGGGCTGCAACTCAGACGAAGTGGCGATTTCATTGATGACATCGAACTTCTTCTCGTCGGAGAAAGTAGGGTTGGCGAAGAAAGACTGGATAGAGGAGTCGGAGAAGAGGGTTTCGATGTTCTCCAAGTCGGCCATGGTGGCGTCGAGAGTGTTGTTGGATTTGGCGACTTCGGCGAGGGCTGACGCGTAGCTAGATGCGGGGCTGTCGGCCATGGTGGCCGCAGAAGCCGAACCTCCGCCGGCGAGGCGGCGGCGGGGGATGGGGACGAAAGGGGGCGGCGGAGGGGGGATGGGGAGAGGCGGAGGGAGGAGGAAATGGATGGGATCTGGGTGGTGGGGGAGGAAAGAGAGAGATGAATAGCCGCCGGAGATAGCCGGAGAGTGGCCATTTACCTTGATTAGGGTTTTGCGGTTTTGTGGGCGTGGGGATTTTGGGGCAGGGGAGAAAGACAAGGGAGTGTGAGTGAGCTATTGGAGGGAGATGAGCTTCGATAAAATTGCGGTGAACGACGAAAGGCCACGTGGGACTACAGGTTAAGCTAAATTGTCATTTTTATTTTATTTTTTATTTTTTTTTACCGATTTACATATATATCACACAATTTTTATATATTTACATATCTAACATCTAAATTTTGATATTTATGCTTATAACGTCTCGGTGTCATGAAACTATAGATTAAAAAGCGCATTTTACTTTTAAAAATATAATGATTGTGATATTTTTTAATGCAGTGTTAAAAGATGATATGATAGTAAATATGAATGTTTGAATGTTAAATATGTAAATACAAAAGATGTATGTAAATGCCCTCCCTTTCTTTTTTAAGATTTACATAAATATCACTCAGTCCTATGTATTTATATATTCATCATATAAACATCAATTTAAACATACATATCATCTTATCTATGCATGAAATATTTTATTTTGCTTGTTTAAAATAAAATTAGTTATATTATTTACATGTTGTGAAATATTTGGATGCATTACAAATCACTCACTTCCTACGTATATTACCAAAACTTCAATTTTTAGATATAATATTTCTTTTTATAATAAAAAATAGACGTATTTTTAATATTACAGTGATTTGGACAATAAGATAAAATTAAAATATTAGATTTGCAAATACATAAGATCTAAGTTGTTTTAATGCAAATGCCCATTGTTGAGTAATTAGGGCGAAGAATAACAGAAATCGACGCAAATCCAGAAGAACGCCAAGATTTAACGAGGTTCGGGAAAGATGCATACGTCATCGGGATCAGAGCGGCGAATTCCTTTCAATATTCAGAAAAGA